CAGGGCAAGGTTACAAAAAAAAGATTACTCATTCAATCAGGGGTGGGAGATGAAATAAAAGCTCAGTGAAAGGGAATGCCAAAATAAAACTACAACTCCGGTAAAAAAAAGCTAAAGAGGAGAATGAGAGTTTATGTACTCGAAAAATGAGGTAAGAAGAAGAAGGTCCGTTCTTGAACTCTCTCTTTTCTTCTTTTCTTCTTTTTTTCTTTTCTATATTATTTCAGATCTCTTCCTCCACTTTGTTTTTCTTTTTCTTTTGTTTTTAAGACTCTTTTCTCCTCTCCTCGAAATCAATTTTTTTACTCTTCATTCTTCCTTTTAATCTCAGATCTTCTTTGGAGAGACTTATTGTCTCTCTCCTAAAACTTTTGAAAACTTGGTCTCTATTATCTAAATTTTTTGGCTTTCTTTCTCTGAAAAAAGAACCTCTTCTTTTCGAAAAAAAAAATTTCCTTTTTCAGATTTCTTAATTGAATTTTTATATTCTATTCAATCTCACATTTTAAGGTCTTTTTTTTTACAAAATATCAAAGTTCTGAATTTTCTTTTCTCATGTTTAAGACTGGTTTTTTATATTGAAGCGTAGACTTGCCTGATACAGGATTTTTGTTTCTGGAGCCAATTCCTTTTTTCCAAAAATTTTCTATTTTTTTTACACAATTTTATTATTTTATTTTTATTTTTTAAAAAAATTTGGAGGCAATCCAGAAAGGACAAAAATTGATATTCACAAACTTTAAATTTCATAGCACAGATTGTACCTATTTTGTTTAAATCTTTTTCTCTATTACAGACACTCCATGCAAAATTTCTTACAAGTGAACTATTGAAACATAGAAATATCTAGTTAATCCTAAGTTCATACAAACTTTTTCTAATGATGACTAGAATAATACGCAATGCGCAGATATCTAAAGTTTCATGCGTGCATTGTTTAGGACAGTTTCTTTAAAAGAGAAAATTTATTTTATGAATTATTTTTAATGTGGAATAAATCAATCTAAGCATATTATATATCACGAAAAAAGGTAAACTTACTTTTTACAATATAGATTGTTATTTTTTCTTAAATTTTTAAAGCTAGTAAATTCTTAATTATTACCTAAACCAAATATTACTGGGTGCATTGATACGTACTCGTTGACTTAACATGTAAAATGGATAAGATCATGATGATTTGTGAGACTTTATGATAGGATAATTTTTAAATATATATATATATATATATATTTGAATTTAAATAAATAAATATTAAATAATTGTTTTGACATGTATTCAAAGATATACAATAAATAAATAATAAATTTTTATAAAAAAGTGTAACATTTAATGAATTAATGTATTGAATCTTATAATATTTTATAATTTAATTTCTAATAAAAAATTCTTATTGGGTGTCTTGTTAAAAAACTTAATATTTTTTTAAGAGTAACCTGTCTTTTTAATGCTTAATTTAAACTTAAAGAAAACAATAAAATAGTTAAGGGTGGGAAGTTGTCTACTTGGCCTCTGCCCAGCCAAAAACATTCAAGTGCATCCCCATCACATCTTGACGACCTGTTTTGTGATTTCAAATTTAAGTCCAAAGACTTTCAAGTACTAGATTCCATTTAACACTTGTCTTTGTGCATCAGAAAAGAATAAAACGAAGAACACAGCAAAAACAAGACAAAATAGCATGTGGCCACTCGATATCGGCTGTCTTAAAAATATTCCCATCATATTCAATGCCCCAAATTTCCATCGATCCACCAAATATAAAGGTAGGTTGACTCATTTTCAAAACATGGATAAAAATAATCAACTAACCACATTTTCTGGTGGGTTGGAAGGTAAGCATTTTAACATGTCCAGTAATTCAAAATTAAGAAAAACACCCACAGAGAAAATTTCTTCCAAAATACACGCGATATAATAATTAAAGATATTTTATATCAATTAAATAATTAATGTAAAATTATTATTTTTTATGCCGATTATAAGGGAATCAATCTAAAAGAATTCGAGAGACAAGATTAAGGAAATTAATGTAAAAAGTAATTTTTATGTAAGGAAATTTATTTAAAAATTTTAAAGAAAAACCAAAAAAATAACAATGAAAAAGTATTAATTTTCAGATTACATACTTAGCTAACAACACTTATGAGACTCCAAAATACATGAGAGATTGTTAGATACATATTGTACAAAATATTGTTGGTAATACAAAGAAAAAGAACTGTGAAATATGAAAAATCCTCGTTGAGAAATTTCATTGGAAATAAATTTACTTTTATCCACTCATGATTCATTAAGCATACAATTCTGGTGATTGCACATTTCATTATTTTACATCCTAAACAATTCATACAAAACAGTACTGTTGATTATACACATTACATTCAACCCATCTTCCAAACTCTGTAATTAGCTCACTTGATGCATGTATTATTATACATATTGAAAGATTTTGACACATAAATAGAAGAGTGCACAAAACTTTGTAGTCAAAATCATCACGCAATGCTCAACAAAAAGTTTCCGAAAAGAATGAGGTTTGAATGAATTTGTAACAAAGATATTAACATTTATAGGTAGACTATGAGATCTCTAGCTTAAGGACAACATTCAAAATACCTAAAAACAACGCTTTTCTACTCAAATATTATCGTTTATAATCCTAGGTACAACACATGAATTGGAGCTATTTTTTTAAACCTCAACAAGAAAAGTGAACATATACAATTAGAAGTGAATATCTTAACTATGAAAATAAGCGAACTATAACTAATTGTTTGTCCATATTTAGATTTGATTTTCTTGGGAAAAGTTATTTTTTTAATTCATTTTAGGAAGCGAAAATGAACATGATTGTTTGAACATATATACACCATGCTTGTTGACCAAAAAAACTTGTCCCATGCTTGGTTTAATTGTGTCTATAGTGATGATGAAACGTAAAGTAAAACACGTAAAATAAAACACAATCTTCATATCCAAGTCTACGTCCTCATAAAGAATTTGGACCATATATTGAAAAGCATTAATTTTGAGATGTCCATGTATAGTTGAATCTGGTCACAATTGTGGGAAAGATGATGGCAAGAGCACATTGAAAATATTTGGCAATGGTATCTCCTTAGCTTTTCTAATTCTTTGCCGACCCATCCACTTCGAACTTTTTCAAACGAATGAGTACTCCAAAAAACTTTTCCATGATAGAATCAAATGTTTAAAGTTTAGTTGGTTATTTTAAAGGATAAGTGTATAGTATAAGTGTATATGATAGTATTTTTCAACCAAAATTGAAATTTTATTTTAATAATTTATAATAACATTAAATATAATTTTTTATTGAAATAAAACTTAAAATTTTAATTAATAAATAATGCCTGAAAAATAGCATATAAGTTTGTCTCATTTTAAACTCATTCCTTTATGCATAAGTAGTAGCATTCATAGAGGATTTACGGTTCATGTTTTATCGACTTCAAATGCTAACAATGTGGTATATAGTTGAATCATATGTCAATCTCTGACGTGACCTTATGTACATAGGATACCACCACATTATTTACATGACAGATGGCAGATTCTAAAATTGGATATTTTGCGCGTGTGCACACATAGGAGAACATATTAAAAGAAAGAGATAGTTTATATGAAGAAAACAAGTAAATTTTGATTATTAAACTTTAATATAAACAGTTGAAGTTAAAACAAAAATAAATATATAGAATAACTTTAAAATATATATAACTCCAATAAACTTATAAATTTAATTATTTATTTTTTATTATATGATGAAAATTCTGCTTAACATAAAGATTCCCTCTTGATCCTCGTTTTATCTAAGTTGTAAACCTGTCTAGGTTCACTGCATTGTTTCTATCTTTCGATGATATTTCCTTGTGAAACAACATTGTCGTAACACTTTTTTTTGGGTCAAATATTCCAACATTGTTGTAACACACAGAACATAACTATTGTTATATCCAAGTCCATGCTGAAGTGTTTGGGGGAACTCTTGGTAAATCTTGAAAAAAGAAGAAAAAAAAAATACATGTCAAAGAACATACAATCTGGCTTCTTGAAATATAAACTTTTTTTATTGTCTACCACTAGAAGTTGAGTAATAATGTTCTGCTGGCTTTCATTATTTTTTTGCGAATTTTGGCCTTAGATGTATCCCAATTTGTTTATTTTTAAAGTGTTTTGAATCAAATCACATTAAAAACCTAGGTGTTAATATAGTAATTACTTTTTTTTCAAATTAATTCAATAGTACTTTCAGATTCTTTAGTTTGAACTGAATAATTTAGTTTTTATTCTTCTTCCTTTTTTTAGTTAAATTTCTTTATTTTAAAAATCAAGCAAATTTAGTCTAATGATCAAATTTCTTCTCTTTGTCATTTTCATTTTTCCTCAAATTTTTCATAAATTTAATCAATTGAATTGTTTTTAAAAAAATTTCAATTCTATTTCACATTTTATCAAATTTTAAATTTTTTTCCATTTCAATTAAATAATTTTAACTTTAAACTTTTAAAGTTATTTTCATATCTCAAATTGATCATAAACTTTCAAATATTGATATAAAAATTAAATATGAAAGTAGTTCCTACATTCACCTGTATTTTTTTTTTAGTCCTTATAGTTTTTTATATATTTTTTGTATACTTAAAATTGTTAAGTTTTTTTAACTTGGTCCATCTCCTTAACAAATTTTACAAAAACAAACAAAACTTTATAATGGTCCTTATATCTATCGACATTTTTTTAGTCTTTATTTAGCCGCATGTTCGTTTTAAATTTTTATTCACATTTTTGCCACATTTGCAAGCAATTTCTATTTCTGAAAATCAAAGTGTTTTTTTAATTTACTACCTAACTAATAAATTTATGAAAAAAAGGTAAAGGTATTGAGGTGTTTATTTCAAAAATTGTAAATATAAAAGTGGTCAACTAACAAGTTTATAGTTTTGTTTTTGTTTTTTTTTTTTTTTTTTGTGAACTAATACATTTATATTTTTTATTAAAATTAATAAGATTATCCATTCATAGCTATAGGCTCACATATATATTTTAGGTTGCGCTCAGCAAAAGCCCAAAAAGAAGACAAGAGTGGGTACAAAGCCCAATCCAGCAGATGAGCATGCAAGTACAAGGAACACTCCTCCAAATTGAAGAATAGTGTCCATCCAAACTGGATTCTACAAATCCGAAAAGAAAAGTCACATTGAAGCAAAGAAAAAAGAAAGATAGAGAAAAGGGTCACGAATCTAGCCATATCATGTATCCGTAACAAAAGTAAAACGCATGCACTGACGCACGCAGATGCTTAAGCCTGTATTTAGATTTGCGTTAATTTTGTTTAAACGAAGATCCAAATCAACACAATAAGTTATGTGTGTAGAGAGAGTTGATGTGGATGTGCTAAATTGAGTAAGATATTAAGTTGATTCTTGAAAATTGATCATTGATCACATCAGCTTTGGAAGGAAATAAGTAATGGCTATTGATGAAGGCTTCCAGCTGTTGTATTCATGGGGTTTTATTTAACCACGTGATAATAGAATCTATCATTTCTATAAGCATAATTGAGAACATTCTAAAAATTAGAAAGAAATTTGATTAATGTTTTTTTCTTGGACTCCTAAAGATCGTAACAAGGGAGCACATGTAATGGTTGCAGTGGGAAGGTGTGGACCACCTTGTCCTTTGTGTGTTTCATGACAACCCTCCCTCTGTCGTTGTACATGCATCATCTCGTTTCTCTTCATATATACCATCTTTCATTAGGGGAATAAACTTTGACTGATCTCAAATTTGTCAAAGACGAACTATCCCTTTAAAGTTAATATACAATTCTTTTGAAATCCGTAAATATAATTAGAATATATATATCCAAATTATATTTTGGACTGGTTTTGTTTTTCAAATACCACTTTAAAGATGTATAAAAAACATTTTTTATTTTTCAAGAAAAAAACAAGCTATTTTTTGTTCTATTTATTACAATTTCAAAAAAAAAATTTAAAAGTTAATTATAATTAAAATATTTTTAGATATTTTTATATCTTTTTTAAAATACTTTTATTTCAATAAAATATAAACACTAAGTGTTCATGTAAATTACCAATATAAAACTTTAGTTTTAATTGAAGAACACTAAAAATACTTTACAGAATTGCACATAAGCTTGGTTCCTTTTTAAAAGCTACCTCTAATCAGTTTTAAAAATAATCAGAGGTTTATCTTTTAATAATTCGGATTTATTAAAGAAAATAAACGAAAATTTTCAAAATAAAAATGACTTTTCGTGATAAAAAGCTGAACAAACAAGATTTATAGGAGGTAATTTTGGTCGATTCAAAATACAGAGTTAGTTCAGGTTTTTTTCATACACAATACACAAACCTGAAACTTTACTTATTATCATGCATGCAACAGCTGAACCAGTGATATGCTCCATAACAGGAGGGAAGCAATATGTCTCGTTCTTATTATCCAACAAGACATACCATGGGGGGTAAGAAAAGAAAAGAACATAGCAGAATACTGCGGCAGATAACTTGCATATCATGTAGATAAATGGTGTTAACTATTCTATTGAGCATAACCCAAAATTGCATTTAAGTTCATGCCTCAACGCATGGTATCAAAAGCACAACCTGATAAAATTAAGGAATTTACATGCAGATGTTTTTTGTTCATAGCTCAATGTGCAAGAGGAGATTGCCGGTGAGACGGCAGAGGTGAAGCAGTGGGAGTTAGATTCAAAGGGGACCGGTTTCGGGCAGGAGACTTTCTTACAGGAGTATGAACTCTATGATGATCTGAGTTGGAATTTCTGCCTGCAGTTTTGGGAGCTTCTATCTGTTCCAGAGTTGCTAATACCTCTGTCATCGGAGGCCTTGCCTTGGCTTCGCTGTTAAGGCATTGTAGGGCAAGTGTAGCGGCCATGAAGGCTCCTTTCTGTGGGTACTGGCCCTCCAACTTGGAATCCATGATTCGGAATAGTCTTCGTTTATCGCCTAAATATGGTTTGGCCCAGTCCACCAGATTCTGCTCCATACCGGCTATTGTTTTATCCACGGCACGTCTTCCAGATAAAAGTTCAAGCAACACAACGCCAAAGCTGTAGACATCACTTTTGGCCGTCAACCGACCTGTAAAGCAATTATGAGATTAGTGCAACGGTTTAGCATATAGTGAGAAGTGAAATGTGTCTAATTCTCATCCATCCAATGGAGAGAAATATAAGTAATGCACACTGAGAATCACTTTTCTACATTATTTATCAGGTGAAATCCCATGCTGGCCTTACTAATAGTGAGCCCAAGTTATTTAGTGAGGTAGTATGAGATTTCATGCAATAATAGGGAAGGCACTGGAAAAAAGTGTTGTTAGCATTGCTTGTCAAATGAAATGGTACAACATACAAAATGCCTGTCTTGAAAAGAAAATGAGAATTAGAATTTATAGGGAAACTTATGAAAACCCTGACACCAACTATCAGTGAGACAAGCAGTGTCACTAAGGCATTTATCATTTATTCTACACCAAGGAAACTATATTGAAGTATATAGGATTTGTTAGTTCTATAGCATGTTAAAATGGACACCTAAGAAACTATATGATCGAAGATTATTAACCATAAATATCAACATCTAGGTAAAGCACCGATGACAGTTTAGGTGAAGCTAAAGCATACCAGTTGCAACATATTCTGGTGCGGCATATCCTTGAGTACCCATGACTTGAGTAGACACATGAGTTCTATCACCAGTAGGACCCGCCTTAGCTAAACCAAAGTCAGAGAGTTTAGCATTGAATTCCTGCAATCCCAATACATGATAACTGATAAGTAAGCAGTTTACACCCAAAAAAATGAAGATATCATAACACCATTTATATTCTCATGGATCTTACTGCGTCCAGTAGTATGTTAGAAGCTTTAAAATCACGGTATATGACTTGCGATTTGGCATTATGAAGAAAGGAGAGTCCTCTGGCAGCACCAATAGCCACTTTCATCCTCACTGACCATGAGAGTGGTTGTGGTCCTCCTGTCAAATATAATGAATCAAAAATTAAAAACTACTGTAATTTCCTAAGTGCAGTTAAACAAACCATACAACGTATCTCTTATTTTGGCCATTAACAAACTGAAATTAGAATTTTGAAAAACATCTTCATTAAGAAAAAAGGAGATCATCCATAAGGAGCAGTATTCTGTTTTTGTTGATTGCTTCTCAGTATCTTTGGGGAAAAAATTATAAAGATTCAAGGAAATGGCTGAATAGACGCAAATTATGAATTAATGGCACATTGGTTATGCTAACTTACTTCTAAACAGATGGTTCTCTAAGCTCCCTTTGGGCATAAACTCGTACACCAATAGCCGGTTCTCTCCCTCCAAGCAGTACCCAATTAATTTAACCAGATTACGATGATGCAGTTGTCCAAGGTAGTTAACCTCAGTCTGAAAATAGATTAACATTTCATTATCATGAATATTATGAGAAAAAACAAAACCATGTACTTTTTCTTGTGGGGCAGGTGATATGGTGTGAATATGATAATAAGCAAGCCCATTATGGGCTTGGAAAGCAAACACTTACCAACCACTCCTTATGACCTTGAAAACCTTCAGGCTTAAGCCTCTTTACAGCAACAACCATTCCTGACCCAGGTTTTGAAGCTGTAAATGTGTGTTCATCAATCCATCCCTTGTAAACATATCCAAATCCCCCTTCACCGAGAAGACTATCAGGACGAAAATTTCTGGTCGCATTCTTCAGTTCATTAAATGTGAAGGCCTTAAGATTGGGAGAAGACAAGATTTCACCCTCAGACCTTGGTGTAGGAAGACTTGAGGCATTGCTTTTTTCACTATACGATGGAATAGATAAGCTAGAAGGAGTGGATTTTGAGATTCCTGATGCAGACAGAAAAATAGAAAATGGTTAATCCATAAATAATGCCACTGCACAGACAGATGCAGGTAGTAAAAAAAAATTGAATTTAACCATCAACACTAGAACCCATTTCTTAACAGGTATTTTACTTTATGCATAATAACAGCAATTTTCTATGGTTATAATTCAACTTCATCATCTCACCTCGAATTACAGAAAAAACAAACAAAGCCAGATTAACTCTCCCAATTCGTAAGTTTTAAATTGTTTGTAATTTAATTAAAAGCTTGTTTCGCCATTTTGATGCAATACATACTTCATTTTTTTTAGAAAAAGGCAAAACTTTGTAATACTTAGGATATAAAGATGAGAACGAGCATCAACTCTTTGCTTCACACGAGATATGTGTGCAGACATCAAACATAATCTCCCAGACAACTGACTTATTAAAATCAATCAAACATCAATTCTGAAAAAGTCAAAACAATCCATATCCGAAATCTGATTATATGATTAAGTTTAATATCCGCAAAGGAGAAATTTATTTAAGGAGGAAAAATAGAGTAAGATAAGAACTCATAACATAAAAGTGGGCGAAGATGATATTTTGAAGAATCAGCAACCTTATTAAACTAAGGTAATATTCCAAGCTGAAATGTACAAACACTAAACACCATCCAAAAAAAAACTACAAAATTTTTTTCAAATTTTATCCAACCCCTGTGACCAGGAGAGAAATTTACCACACCATCAACCCAAAACTCAGAAACCCACTTCCCAAAAAAAACCGTGAAAGAGAAAGCATAAGTATCAAAAGCCTAAAAAAAGAAGAATCAGAAACAGGGTAATCGAGAAGACAAGATGGGATTATAACGAACCAGAAGTAGATCTGGAGCTTTGAGCTGCATCAACTTTGGCTGAAGAATCTAGGCAGTTACCCATTAGGCTCTGCCACAATTCTCAACTAAAGTTAACAAATTTGCAGTAGAAGAGAGAGAGAGAGAGAGAGTTAAGATGTAGATATGGTTGCAATTTCCAAGGAAGTGAAGGGGAAGTTGGGTAGTTGAAGAGAAAGGTGGAAACTTTGGGATGAGAAGAAAGAAAGAAAGAAGTAAAGGAATTGCGGGGTGAGGGGAACACAACAGAGATGAAAGGAACAGTGGGTTTTGGATTCGCCTATGAAGACACTGACATTGGAACCGCGTCTTACGTGGCCACGTGTGAACTCTGCCTCTTAAAGACACGTTCGTCAACTTTGGTTGATGACTGCCGATTCCCCAAAATACCCTCCTTCTTCTCTTTTTTATTTTTCCTCTCTTTGGATTTTCCGTTGTGTTTGATTTTCTTCATATTATAATTTTATATAGAAAATAATCAAAACTTAAAAGAGTTTATTTTATCATATTTAGACGTATATATTAATATATAAAAAATATTTTTATTAAATATTTTTTTTAAATTGTTTGTGTTTAATATTATAATTTAATTATAAATACACATATAAAGTTGATTTTACTTAAAGGAAAAAAAAAACATTAATTCCACATTTAAGAAGTTTAAATCAAGTTTGACGTTGACTTTAATTTTTCTTCAAATATTTGGAAATCAATTTATAGCATGCATTTAATGGCTTGACACTTACAAATGTTGTTACATCTGATACACTAATAAAATTTGTTGCAAGATGTTGGTTTTATGATGAAGAATTGATTAAGGATTTTATTTTATGCATATAATACATAATTAAAATTTTTATGCATAGTCAATTTTAATATTTATATTAGAAATTATAGAATATTATAAAATTTAATATAATAAATTTATGTTTTTATTATAAAAATATTAAAGTTTTTATTATGGTTATAAGAAATAAGGAGTTGCTATTGTATACATTAATTGTTAAATTTTTTTACAATTTTATTTAATGTAAAATTTATGTTAATAAGACACTCAACTATTATCTATATAAATGATATATAAATTTATTTAATATAAAAATTTTAATTTAATTATTTAATATTATGAATATATATTATTAATTTTTTATATTTTTATACTTTTATTTAATATAAGATTTGTGTTAATGAAACATTCATCTATTATTTATATAAATTGATATATTTATTTATTATTAAACACACTATAAAATTATGATATATAATTATTTTTTATTAATGTTGATGGATTTTTATATAAAAAAACTAGATAAAATATAATACATTAATAATTATCTTGCACCGTGTTGATTTTACAGAAGTGTCTATTGTCATTCTAACATGTTTATTACCACACTCCATTTAAAATTTATTATTATTATTATTATTATTATTATTATTATTATTATTATTATTATTAACTAATAAAAACAGTGTTTTATATAAAAATTATTTAAGAAAATATGTACCAATAAATTTTATGAAGTGACAATAAACATTTTAATGTAACAATAGACTCACCTTAATTTTATAACGAATAATTAATTATAAAACTTATTAATTGGTCTTTCAACATTATTTTTAATAAAAATTTAATTTTTTTTTTATAATTTGTAAAAAATTAAATGCAAATATTTTATTAAAATACAATTTTAATTTTAATTAAAAATAACATTAATAACACCTAAAGAATTACTTAAGTTTTATTTGTACTTTTAACAAGTACAACAGACACTAGTAAGATTTTATTAAAATTTATAAGATATCATAAAAGTTGATGTATTGATAATACTACTTTCGATTTAGTTTATAAAAATACAAGTATTTGTTCTTCTAATTTTTTTAATGCATTAATCGTTAAATTTTTACGTAACAAGACATTTGTTACACATATCATACATTTTTTGCATTTAATATATAAGATACTTGTTATTATTTTTTATAATTTTTATATTTATTTCTTATTAATAATATTTTAACGTGCATATAAGATTCTATATATTAAAAGAATTTATACATAATAATTTTTTATAAGAATCATAATGTTTAATACATATTGATAAATTTAAATTTTTTAATAAAAATTACAAAATATCTCATAATTCAATATATTAATAACATTAAATATTATAATTTAAATAAATATTTGTATTTATTAAATTTTTATTACATACCTTCAGATACTTAAGGATACAAAATAGATTTCTGTACATAGTAATTTTTATTAAAATTGTAAATTTAAGACATGAATAATATTAAATATTATAATTTTTATTAATAATTTATTATTTATTAATTTCATAATATGTCATTGGACACAAAATAATAAATTTTGTATATGTGAATTAGATTAATAATCCTTTAATATATTGTTAATTTTTTAAAAAAATATAATGAATTATAGATCTCTTATACTTATATTTTATCTTTAATACAATATCCTTAACAAAAAACTTAAACATCAAATAAATAAATAATATATTAAAAACAATGGACAAATATATTGAAAAACAATTATAATAAATGTGTTTTGAATAAAGTTTTTATATATATTTGATTTCTCAAGACTTAGACAGTATTAAAGAAAATTCCAACTTTAAATAAATTAACCCAAGTAATTAATATTAATAAAGTTGTAGTCTTACATAACTAAAATAAAACAATTTTTGTAGAAAAAATTTATTACGTAAAAATGAAAACATGTAATAAATATTTTCTATCCTAACTTAAAATATTGGAAAAATGAAGAAAAAATAAAAGGGGTATTGTGGGAACATAAATAAAGTTTTAGCGGTCGTCATTTTTAGCTCAGCAAGAACGTCAACACAAGCCACTAGAAACAAATGAGAAGGCATCATCTCCTAATATTAAAAATAAATAAAAACTTATTCATTAAATTAAAATTATAATATCTAAAAGTTTAGAAAGCGGATGCCCTTTGAAGCCGTTGACGATTCATTGCAATCCATATATCCAATTCACACTCATACGGGCCCCACCATCTTCAATGGAGTAACTTCCTTGGAATATTATTTTATCTTCAATTCCACACCTTAACACAATAATATCAAAATATTTCTTTTAGCTTGTGCAAAATTACATAATATTTTTTTTAAAAAAATAATAATTTTTTTAAAATTATAGTATTTAATAATGTTAATATATTAATCTATATTTATTTTTATAACTCTCAATAAGATTTATTGTATAGAGTTTTTTTATTATGTAATAATATAACATTACATAAGTAAAAAAATTGAAAAAATAATATATCTCGTAGATAAGCACTTTTAAGAAACTAGACGTGTTCCTGTTAAAAAAAAAGTTAAATACGTTGTTAGTTAATGAAAATTTAGCAAAATTTGTTTAAAATTCCAGCAGCTTTTTATTTTATCTTTAAAATTTTAAAGTTATTTTTAATCTCTATTATTAACTTGTTATTTAGTAGTTATTTACTTGACTAATAACTGTCTATTAAACTCTACATGTATAAAAAAAATATAATTATTTTTATTATTATTATTATTATTATTTTACATAAATAATGTAAGTTGAAACCTTTATGATTCATTTACGTAATATATTATTTTTATATATACTCTTAAGTGAACAACTTGCATAATTTTGTTTGATATATATAATAAATTACTATATGCAGCAGAACTTAAATGGATTTCTGTTGATAAAGTTAACAACTAGTTAATAGTAAATTAGTAACCAAGGTTATAAACAAGATTTAAAAAATAAAAAATAAAATTTACTAAATTTATAAAGATCTAAATAAAATTATATTTAAACCACAAAATTGTTCCGTGTTAAACACCAGTGGGCGTGCAAATATTATACGATAATGATGTATACTTCTTTTGAGTATATAACATTATTTTTATTCTAAGGTCGTAAGGTTGCAGCACCAAACTACCAATTTCATAAAATAATGCGATTCTTTATTTGAAGTTATTCAAGTTTTAAAATTTTCAAACACAACTTGTTTTTCCAATTTTTATACGAGAAAAGTAATGCACAAAATGGTATATTCCAGTAAATTTTTAAGTCTTTTTGGTGTGAAAATAATATCATTCTGGCATTTTTTGTACAAAATTTAAAAAATAATAATACTTCATTCCAAAATATATATATATAAAAAATGTATTAGATTCGGAAAATATTTAAAAAGTAAAAGGGGTGCCGCCGCCAACACGCCATGTAGTGTTTGACATTTTACACTAAAATATATTATTTAACGAGTGTCAAGTTACTTATAAATCAATTATTATAAAAAGGAATTTGATTTTAAGAAAATAACCTTAAAAGCTTTATAATTCAGCTAATAAAATATTTGGTGTGGGATAAAGTAAATGCAGTTACGTAATTGTGTTCGTAAGCATAAAGTTAACAATAATTGATTGATTTTGGCCTGACTAATCCTTGAAAATGAATGATGAGAAGAGTCACTGATTTCAAGCTCTCCAAAATGAAAAGCATGGGACCGTCAAGGAGGCAGGGGTCATCCACTGTCCTACCTTTTTTTCCTTCTCATCAACCCACTATCCCCACTATCCTTCCTGTTAATTTCATTTAAGTTGGTCTTTGTGTGGGTCATTTTTTTAATTTTTTTTTTTTTACAAAATTACTAAAATATTACTTTTTAAAAAATATTATTTGAATATGATTTGTATGAAAAAAAAAACAATGACAATTTTTAAAGTAAAAGTTACATTTTTATTAAAAAATATTTTTATACATTTAAAAATTGTTATTGGTGATTTTTTTAAAATAAATTACAATTGGTGTATACGAAGAAGGTAACAGTGAATAGGAAGTTTATGTAAGTATTATTTCTAACAAAAAGGTAAAATAAAAAAAAAATAATATTGAAAGTGATGATAATTTTGAAAGAAATTATAGAAACAATGAAGATATAATATTATTTATAACAAAGAGGTAAAATAAAAATAAAATAACATAGAAAGTGAAGATAGTTTTGAAAGAAATTATGAAAGTAATGGAGATATAGATGATGATACATATGATGAAGACTCATTTATCAAACCCAGTAATTGACTAACATCTTTTTGAAAAATTACCGTTCATGCACATTTTAGATTTTAATATTATGCAAATACTTAAATTTTTAAAGTATTCTAACTTAGATACGTGACATATTATATTATATTTGCACTCATAAATTTATCTTTAATTGTTTGAATGAACTTTTGTTTCTTTTTGTTATTGATAGGTCATTGTGAGGTT